CCAAAGCCAATCTGGTTTATACTATTATTTTAATTAGGTGGGACTGTGGTCTCAATTTCTCTAAGATTTCTTCTACCAAACTGCAGAGTTAGCCTCAACACAGCATTACCTAAAAATGAGATCCACAGAACTAAAACATACACAAACCAGCACTGTTTCCAGTGAGGAAAAGAGTGAAGCACACAATAGAACCACAGAATCATAAATACATGCTCTATTTCAATATATTTGACTGCTAATGTCAACACAAATTCTACTATCACATCACTAAAAACACAGCAATCATGTTAGGCTTCAGGGCAAAGGGAAGGTGGCATATTCTAGGTCCTCATAATAATGAGGACAAGAAATATTAGTTGTCTTAACACATATTCAAGCACATTTTTAAGCACATTTTTGTCCCAAATATTTATGGACAAATCTAATCTACAGGTAATGTCCTCAGTGGTGTAAATTCTTCCTTTCATTCACTTTAGAAATTATAAGCAATGCAGTGATGAGGCCTAAGTACCTGTCTGAAAAGAACCAAGTGGATTTTGAAAAGTCTTGGGTGTTAACAAGTTGGCAAGAGCTTTTGCCATTGATTCACCCAAATCGAACTTGCTCTCAGCTGTGTTTTCCTTGTCCTAGTGTGAGGCTCTGCTCAGTATGGCTCATAGTGGTACAAAAGGTGACTATTTTCTCTAAGAAGAAAATAAAATTTTCTCTAGACAAGTGTTTTTCAAGCTGCTTCAAAGCTGATGAGATTCTGAATAAGTCCAAAATTCTCTGGCAGTTTGTACACAGATAAATTTTCTCCACTGAGAAGTATGTTTCCTGTTCTGTGCTTTGCCTCAAGACAAAAGAGGCTGATCAGAGGAAGACTTCAAAGGAGTTACCATGAAGTCCAACAAGAAGTGAACTGGCCAGGCAATGTCACTGGGTTTGACAATAACATTACTAATAATAACACAGGCAAGGAGCTATAGGTTGATAAAATCATACAGATCCTTTCACGTGTTATCTATTCTGAAGCCTCCAGATAACATGGGGAGATAAGGGTCTCCTACTAGGTACTAATTTGACATGGTGTGGATCACAAACAGAAGACCAGTTGGATTTATTATGAGTTTCCCAAGAGACTCAGCAGTTAAAATAATTTTATTTTGTTGCACTTCTCCCAAATCAGTCTCTGAATCTCAACATTTTTATGTGAGACAAAGACAGGAAGGGTTAAAAGATTCTAGAAGGAGCTGGGTATTTTACAAGTGTTCTCAAAAAAAAAAAAAAAAGAAAGAGGGAATAATCAAAGAATTAATGCAGAGAATTCAGTTCCAGTCAATTTAAATGCAGAATCAAGAAAATACCACATACAGAAAATTGCTGAAACTAAGTTGGGGAAAAAGAAGCAGAATCCAAGTCTTCATTAATAGCAAAGGGCCACCAAACCTACAATAAGCTTATCAGGATGTTTGTTAAATTATTTCTTTCTTTACATTAGCAATTTATATTTGCATATGTGGGCAGACAGAGGCATGTGCTTTCCAGACTTTTGTGCTTTGGGAGGTTTTTTGGCCATTAGAGAGACTCACTCATCAGAAGAAAATTATTCTTATGAAGAGGAACAACCCAAGGGCTCCTACAGGAGAAGACAGCATTCTCCAACAAACTGTATTTTACTGATAGCTAGAAAGGTGGAAGGTGTTGATGGCTGGAAGGTCTTTACACGACCAGAGGCTATAGACACAAACTGAAACACAGGAAGTTCCCTCTAAACATCAGCAAACACTTTTCTATTGCAAGAGTGCCTGAACACTGGCACAAGTAGACCAGAAGCAGTTGTGGAGTTATTCAACAGTTGTTGGAGATATTCAAAAGCCATCTGGACATAGTCCTGGTCAACCAGCTCTAGGTGGTCCTGTTTCAGCAGGGGGTTGGACCAAATGATGTCCAGAGGTCCCAGCCAACCTCAACCATGCTGTGATGTTGTTCCTGCTAAAATGATGGGAGGGATGGGTAAACTCAACAGCAGCTGGATAGAGAAATAGCAGTGCAACATCACTGCTAGGAACCACAATGAAGAAAATTAAAGGAACAGACAGCTGGAAAGTTCAATACAAAGCCGAGAAGCAAAACAGTCACTAAGGGAGGACCCAAGAAATCAGCAAGAAGGACATGGCTGGTGGCTAAAGGAAAAGGAGTCTGCACTGAGGTTTGAGAAGCTGAAAGTTTATTGATTCAGTAGGAGCAGTTGCCAGCACCGTCTTTTAGGAAAAAGTTGACTTAGGTCCAAACAGTTGTTTGGTGGTTTTTTTTCAAATTCCAAAATTTCCTTTTTCCAATTCCAAATCCCCCTCTCTTTCCATCTTCAGAAATTCTACCTTCATTTATACCCAAGTGAACGTGGCACTTGGCAGAAAACAGGCAGGCCCCAGGAATCCCTGTAGCTGGCAGGGAGAAGAGCCCAGACTGAAGCAATGGAAGCAGCACACAGCCTGCCCAGCTCTGCCTCTTCCCACATATGAGATTATAGAACTTTGTCAAGGGCACCAACTTGTTTCCTGGACTGCTCTTAAAGCAGCTGTGCCTTAGCATCACTGAAGAGCCACTTCAGGAAGAATTCTGCACACACACGCCCATTTATTTATTTTTTTAATAAACATTTATATGAACATTATGAATGGAAATATTTAGCACCAACATTCCCCCTTGCTTTTTTTCCCTCCAAGAGATTCATGAGCTAGAAAATAACTCTCTATTCTAAGTGGCCCTACAAGAGATTCATGAGCTAGAAAATAACTCTCTATTCTAAGTGGGATTATATGCCCTTTTTCCCTGCCTGTGAGGAAAGTTCTTATTTCTCCTGCATTGCTCCCTTCCCTAAAAGTAGTGCTCATTACACCAAATATAACATTAATAACATGGATTTAGCTAATTTTAATGAAGTTGTGTTTCACAAAAGGGCACGAGAAATGCTAGATTCCAGAAACAGAAACAAACTCCCAAATCCAAACAAACAAGCAACAAAAACCTCACACAGTAAAAGAATTCTTGCTTATACTCAACACGTGAACCAAACATGAAAAGAAGCTAGAAGTACTGACTCAAAATATGTCAGAAGTTGCTCATCAGGAGTTTTTGTATGGTCAGATTATCTCATTCTGTGTTTTGTAATATTACTATATTATGTTTTGGTTTGCCAGCTACTACAGCAAATTGTTGGCAAGTCCATTATTTGCAGGAAAACAAAATAAATGCCCTTTTTAGTTGAAGCAGAAACTCATAAACTGAAACATAAATACACTTCAATTTGATTAACACAGTTTTACATGGAGCAACAAACTGGGATTACTCCTTCTCTCCCACTTTATTACCAATGCAGATAACTGCTTAACATAAGTGTAGAAGCAGCAGTCTTTTCAATTAGTATGATTAAACCTCTATGAAGCCACATGGTGTTCAACCTCTAAAATACTGTAATTGCAATTCTGTCTCTATCAAACTGCTCAAGACGATAATGCTCCTTCAAGCCTATTCTGGTTCCCCCTGTAAAAATGGGATTTCAAACCTATGTGTTTTGACTTCTTTTCACTTAAGAGTACAGCTTGGGCCCAGCACTGCAGGGATGGTGCACTGTTTCCAGCAGCAGACCCAGACATGTCTTTATCTATGAGGACCTCCAGCACAGTGCTCCACTGCTGCCTGTACCTTCAGAAATGAGCATTACCCCCCTGTGACAGCCAGGATAATTCTGATGAAGGATAATGGAGAGACTGATCTAGATGCACTCTTGAGGCCTTAAAAATAATTATCTGTGTCCCTCTCTCCTCCAAAGTAAAAACTGGTCTCAGGTCTCTGTCAAGAAACTTTGTTAATAATGACATGTAAAGCCAAAAAATACAGCTTTCAATAAATTCCCCACACAGGAATGTACCAGAATTTGGTAACCTTGAATTTCTTTTTGGTTTTGGTTTTTTTGTTTTGTTTTAAACATATTTAAAATTTACAAATTATACAAATCAGATTTTAACTTACCAGTTATAGTCACATTTATTATCCCCTTTTATAGGGCTGTTTCTGGCACATGGGATAGGAAAAGTAATAAATGGAATACAGGGCACAGTTAGAACTAGCCTAACCAGCTAGACCAGCAGCTGCTACTGTTAGTGTCTCTGAGCTTCCTTCCACTTTGCTCACTACATGTATAGGGTCACCTCATTACATTTATAAACCCTCCTGTTTCAATGCACTTTTAAGGCTTATTTCTGTCAAACTGACAAAATTCCACCAACTGGCCATGGCATCATCCTTCCTGGCAGGTTTCATCCTTCTACACATACTTGGTCCCTGGTTAAAAACAGGCAAATGGCTACAGACATGTGCCTGGCAAAGAGATGACACTTCTTCAGCATGGTCTGTGTATCTTGTGTGTTAGCCCATCTGCTTGCCTCTTCAGACTCCTAGCCTGCCAGCACAGGAATCTCAAACTGTTACAACAGCACTCGGTCCAGTACAATGAGATCCCTCTGGTCACAGCAGCATTTGAGGACCATCATAACAAATATTTACAAAAGCAAGAACCAAGATTTATCCTGTTTCCTAAGCAGCAGTAGGAAGAATTAACATTTGGTTATCCTGGTTATCCCTTTAATATATAAACTGCTGCAGTTAGTTGAAGATACAGGTCAATAACTAATATTGTATTTTGGCAAATACCCTAAAAGTAGCAGCTACTGCTTCAGAGCTTTTATTTTTGTTACATTTTTGTTAGAAAACCAGAAGAGCTTCTATGTAACAACACTATGAAAGCACTCCCACTAGACAATTTAAAAGCAATTGGTTCAGGTTGCTTTAATTAACAGGTTTAAATAGTACAGGAGTCTTTTTCCTGTGTGCCCAAATGCACATCTTGTACTACAAAACTGAAGAAATATTTCTTGCCTACCGAAGTCCTGCATAATTAAATGCATTTCCAAGAGAGAAGCAATAACCAGACAACATCAACTCTCTACTTTCATTACCTGTTTCCACAGTGTTTTCTGTTTCTGCTGCCTCCAAACCATCCATACTGTCTTCATCCTCCACTGCAGTTTTTCCTCTACTCCGAGGCCTGAAAACATAAGAAGGGAAAACTTTTTAAACTGAAAGCACTTTTAAAATCCTAGATAAATTTAAAACTTCAAAATTTAAATAATTTCATTTTGAGGGATAAGCGTCAGCACTAAAATAGGTAACACTCAAGCTAACCCATGCCTTGAGTTCTGTAAAATCAGAAGCTTCCTCTCCTTTCTCCCCCATTCTAGGTAAATGTCCTCAACAACGTGCACTTGAACGAGCAGTTGGCTCCTTAAATTCTACTGACTGTTCTTACCAAAGTACAACGACTAATTTTTACGGATCAAAACCACATTAAATCAGCACGATTTTAAGGTACAAACTAGGAGTTAACTATAGATAGATATGAGGGGACACAATCCAAAAATCCGGCCAGTAGTTACATACACTATAGATAGAAATCCATTCAGAGCATCCTTGGAAGAAATTTCTAGAGAATGATAATGAAGCTAAAGAGATTAAATAGAAACACACATTATTTTCCATGACACAAATATTTTGACACATCCAATAAAATATTATGAGAGATGACTAGACACCATCTTGTGAGGACAGCACATCATAACTAAAATACCTAGCAGATTTGTTTCAATTTAACCAAGGTCTGATGGAAAGCACACAGGTCTGAGCCACAGATTCCAGCCTTTTTATTTTCCTGCCTGGCTCTTCAGCAACTAACGTGGTGGGCTGTTGAGAAGCCCAAGCATCCAGATTCCCAGCTGTTCAGCAGCCCACCAGAAAGGGAGCCAAGAGCTTGGCACTTCGCCTCCCAAATTTTCAGGCTACTTGGCAACCTGCTTGGCGTGCTGAAGAAAAGCCTGGGAGACCCTGGAAGCTTCTGATTCCAAGTACACAAATTCTGAGTGGACTAGGGCATCTCAGTGGTTCCAACATTCCACAGCTCCCAGACAACCATTCACCCAGCCAACATGCCTTGAATTGGGATGCCACACAGGCCAGCACATGGGCACCCCGCTTGCCCCCCTGAACAGAAAACCACCCTGGTTCCTCTTTCATAGAGGACTCTAAAAGGCTTGGGTTTAGTTCTGTGTTGGGAGAAAAACTTTATAGTTAGGGGTTTTTTTGTTTTGTGGGGTTTTTTAAGTGATTAAATAATTCTAAATTTTTGTACTGTCTCTTATGCTTAAATCTATCCAAAGCATTTCTGCAGAACTAGATCTGCTGAATCGTCTACAAAATAAACTCTATTGTGCAATATCTTTGGCTCCTGTGGATGAAAGAGAATGTGCACAGAACTGGAACCATTTTTTGGATCTACATGTGTTGCTCTCCTGCTAGAAGAGAAGTGACTGTCTTGGACTACCTAACAAGATCCCTTCAAATTGTATTGGGAACCGTTAAAGAATTAAAATGAGGCTCAAACTGAAGCCTGAAACAAACCACTTGATTTACAAAGGAACTAGGCATTGGGAGTAGAGGAAAGAGAGAAGAGATGAAGACAGAGGACGCTTCTTGGCATCCCTATTAAATTTGTTCAGATCAAAGCTGAAAAACGTGGGTGCAGTGGCAACCCTAGGGATCCGTATCTTTCCCCTCGCCTGCATATCCCTAAGCTGTGATAGAACACAGATAACACACAAAATTATTGATATCCATCTTGGACAAGACAGAAGCCAGCATTCCCTTCAGTTACTTGCCATTCCATAAGCTTCCAGTGTAGCTTCTTAAAACCAACGTTTCACACATATTTAAACCAGAATAAACTGCACAGAGACCAGAATAAACTGACACTCCTCCCTTCAGCCACCATGTCAGCTCATCCACCATCCAACCATCGGTGAGCTGACTGTAAGGTGGACATGTCCTCTGCAAGTGGGAAGGACATGAATGTTTCTCTCAATAGCACCTGAGATTGCCATATAGATTTATTCCTATGTATAATGAAGAGTAGGGAGTAAAACAAATGAAACATCAAACTCATTGGATAGAATCAGCTCATCCAGCAAGACTGAGATACAGCAAGAAAGAGGTAACACTCTTTGATACTTAGAAGAACAATGCAGCTGGTAAGAAAACAAAAGCATGTAAGCATTTTATTTCCTGTAATTCTTCACAACATCCCAGCACATCTGCGAGCACCAAATGAGAGATGGGAATGCAGGCAAGTGAAATCACTTCCCTTGGTGCAGGACTGCTCAAAAGCTTTGCAGAACACAACCAGCTAAGAACTGGGATTATTTCTAAATCCTATCCCAATTACTCTCCTACCAACTATCCATCTGCAATGCAAAGTTACAACTTTGTACTAAACCAGGATTACTTTGAAATCATCACAAAGGCAAATGATAATTCTGCTTCCTCACAAGTAATCCATTCCAATATCCTCCAACACAACCCTATAGGTGAAAGTCACTGGATACTGGCAGATTATGATTGTTTATGTTTACTTAATAATTTATATACAGCATTAGGTTTTTTATTAAAACTACATTTTGTGTATTAAACATCAAAGTACCTCACAAAACCTTTTAAACATTTTGTTTAAGAGCCCTATCCACTCCTTAAACTCCCTACCGTATTTTAGCAACTTATTTACTAAGAAAAATCAGAGGTTTAAATTAATTAAACACAATTGCTTCTTTCAGGAAAACACATAACCATGTCTAGTGTTTTCTTGCCACTCCCTGCCCCAAAACAATCTACAAAAAGCCTCCATAATGCTGTGCAGATTTTAAATAAAATGGAAAAAGTAGTGGAAAAATTGCTGGATTATATCACTAGCTTATTTTTGCTAGATACAAGCATTTCACAATCATCAGAAGAGATTTTATAGCCTATAAATTTGTTTGACTCAGAGAAAAACATATTTCAAGACACAGAACAGTGAAATATATAGTGTACTGACAACTATAATTTATTGTTTCCACAGAAAACACTATCTGAGAAGACCGTATAGCATACCTAATCGTTGCAATCAACATTTATAATAAGAATATATTGTTTACTGTTATTTGCATTAAGTTTATATATGTAATAGTTTTATACATTAAGCTTTTGGCTGGTTTGCTTAACACTGGATTTTTCCACTGACTGTGTAAAATTTCTGTTTTTCTATTTAGTTCCTCCACTCGCTCTCAAAGTAGGAAAAGCAACCTGTGTTCCGGTCTCCTGAGACTTGATTTTTTCTTCTGGAGTTCATCCTTTTAAAGGAGGACACAAAAAAGCTGCTGGGGTAAGATGATGGCAGGGCCAGTTTTTGCTGCCTTAAAACAATGACAGAATGACAGCCAGCAGCCTGTGACTATTCCCCTTCGCTGACACAAAACTAGAGTACTGATCCATAATTGCTATATTGAATGTTTTCACCTCAGTTCTGCTCTGGATCTTGAAGCTCAATCCCAAACTTTCTTATTAGGAGGAGTAACTACCTCATGCTCCTACATATTGCAGAAACCCCATCAGCTCCCAACAGCAGAAGTACCCAGTGCAGATGGGCCACATCTCCTACAGCTCACAAACCAAGAACAGAACATACAGGAACAGCCCAACCAGCACAGACTGTAAGAAAATAACAATGAATACTAGACTAGTTAGTACAACAGGCAGTGGGCTTAGTACACAGGCTGAACTGCTGCCAAAGCTTCCATGATGGGCCTTCTTGCTTGCCTTTTTCCTACAAGGAAGTTTAATTTAGAAGGAAAACACAAAAGCACATCTACTGATGTTTTAAATAACAGATCCACTAAAACTTCTTAAAGTGTTTTAAAAGCACATTCAGCATTTCATGAAACCAAGTCAACAAAATCCAAAACTACACTTTTTAATGTACAAAGGACTCGAGGTGAATAAAATTACTGCCTACAATAATTTTATGCATATTTGCATAAAATGGAACAATTTATCTAAATCCTTTGTGACCTACTCCTGTATTTGTTACTCATTAGCTTTCTTAGCTAATGTATTTCATTAATCTCCACCTTTAAATACACCATAATAAACAAAAAGCTTGTAATTCTGTGTAGGAAAGTATTTAAATTCAGCCCACAGGAAAAAAAAAAAGCCAAAAAAACACCTTTTGCAGGGCTCAGCAGAGCATTAGGTACCCTCTGCCCTGGGGAAAGCCCCACTGAGGCTCTTTCAAAGCCTTCCCAACTTCCCTACTTATGACATTTTTTGCATTTTTTGTTGTTGTTGGTTTGGTTTGTGGAGTTTTTTTTGTCACAGCGATAGCACCAAAACCAGACAAGTACGATATAGGTCGAAAATCCATCTTGGATCTTACTCATTTTTTCGACAAGGTGATCAGTAAAGAGGCCACGGGCCATTATGGAACCTGGAACCTCATGAAATAACTGACAAAGCTACTAACCTCAAATGCCTGTCACTGCCAGGCTGCTGGCTTATCATCACCCAGCAGTAAGTGCCAGACACCAGTTTCTGTATGTTCTCCATAAGTTGCCACCAACAAAATCAGGTGACCATTTGTTCAAACCATCCATCAAAATTACTTTACTAATCCAATGCATTTTGTTTCAGGCTTATGAAAATGTGTTCATAGAAACCAGTCCAGAGTTCGCCCTCCTTCTCAAATGCCAAAACCTCTAGACCATTCAGGGGAAAAACTACTTTTCTTCTACACTTTTCAAAGTGCTGAGCACATTGGTGGTACTAGATGTATAAAACAGGGCCAATAACCTTAAAAAGCAGTGTAACATCTGGGATACAGTAACATCCTAAACCAGCACAGATGTCTTGTTAAATGAACATCTGTCCATAGCCTTGCCCTGGAAGATGGTACAGGAATGATTTATAAAAAGGTTCAATTAGTGCTGCCGTCAGCATGGCTAATAACAAATTAATGTTCACACATCAGTTTTACAAGTGAAAGCTGCTACAGTCTTTTCAAGAATATTTTTAACAGGTGTGCAAAAGCACATGCTCTCACTTCTCCTAAACCTTAAGTTTTAAGTACAGCTGTAAAAGTTTAACTGTGCTTAAGTATAAGCTGGCATACATAAGGTTCAACAAGTAGCC